TGGGATGATCTGCGCCCTCCTCTTCCTCACAGCGCTGTGCTGCCAGAGCCTGGCTCAGAGTAAGTGCTGCCACCTGCTCCGTCCCTGCAGGCTGGGGGACAGGGACAGGGCCATGCGGGTTTGTTTCGTGCACGGTGTGCAGGGGGGCTCTCTCTTTGGAGAGCTGTCGTGCCCACAGCAGGAGGGCTGAGATGGGAGGTGGGGGTCTCCAGGCTAAGACGAGCTTGTGCTGTCCCCGCAGGAGCTCCGGCCATGCCGGACAAGTGCTGCTTCAACTTCCAGACGAGAAGGATCAAGAGAGACAACGTGGTCGCCTGCTACCCCACCAGCCCCGAGTGCCCACACCAGGCTGTGATGTGAGTACGCTAAACCCGGCTCTGGGGGTGAAGCCCCTCTAGATCCTGCCAGACCCCTTGCCTTGCCTTGGTGGGTCCAATCCTGATTCTCGGCGCCTCTGAACCCCTTGAAAACTCAGTGCCAGGGTTCCCATACCATCACCCCGCTAACACCATCTCTCTGCCCCAGCTTCAGGGTGAGGAGCGGGAAGGAGATCTGTGCCCAGGCAAGCAGGGCCTGGGTGAAGAAATACCAGCAGAGCTTCCCAGTCAGCTCCTTCTCCGTCCCCAGCTAGCAGGGTAGCCGGAGGAGCGTGGGGAGTCCTCTCCACGGGGGACGGGATGCCGCAAAGGTGACCCCTTTGCAGAGGCGACTGTGGGGACACTCCATTTGGATACAGAAAACTCATCAGGGACATGGTCCCCATCGTGCTGTGATGACCTTCACCACCTTCCCAGTGGCAAAGTCCGGACTCGCCGGCAGCCCCCATGCTCTCCGCTCTGCCCTGCCCGCGGGCAGCTGCCTATACCCCTCGCAAGCAGCAGCGGGCCAGTGGGGCTGTGCCCATTGGCCTGGCAGCAGCAGAGGGGTTAAGGCAAAGCAGCTCCACGGTTATTTTTTTGTACCACATGCTGAACGGAATTAAATGTGATGTCAGGCGTGCCAACAGCTGGCTGTGCAAGTGACTTGGGCAGGGGCAGATCCTGCTGCTGGTTTTCCTACCCGGGTGTTAACACACATCTGTGAGTGCTGGGGTCGGGAAGGAGCCAGGAAGAGCCAAAACCCCAACCATGTCCCTGCGAGGGGGTCCGGGGGGTGCATGAGGCCAAACCATGTCCATGCAGGGCTGGGGAAGCCACTGGTGAGAGGGGCAAGAGGCAGGCGCAGCCGTGAGGAGGGGCCTTCCCACGCTCCTCATCGGCCGTCCTAAAGAGTGGAGACCCATGGCCCAAGTTCAACCAGAGCTGCCCCTCGGGGATGCCTGGCCAGTCCATGCTCCCGGGATGCCCCGAGGAGATGCGACAGGCACTGCCACCGTGATGGCCACCCCACCGCCACGGGCAGCCAGCGATGGGCTTCAGGGTGGGCTGGGGCGAGCTCCACCGCTGCCAAGCCACTCACCCCAGGGCAAAATTGCAAGGAGGGTGTTGCAGCCTAGCTGACAATGGGTGGATTTTGAAAATAAACTCGCCTGGGGCTTTGGCAAGCATGAACATCATCCTGTGTGGTTTGCCGGTGGCAATAACCAAACCCAAAATAGACTGCCGGCCCCGGCACATCACTGGTGGTGCAAAGCTGTCAGCTGCTTGCCACACTTTCCAGCAGCCCTTGGGTACTGCAGGGGCCGGAGGGACTGAGAGAAGGAATTTCCACTCACCCGTTGCCCTTTATTAATATCTCCAGGCGGTTCTTTCCCCGGGGAGAGTCCAGAGGTGTCATGGAAAACCTGAGCGGGGGGTATATCATGCCGAGGTGCGGGCAGGTAACTCTCAGAGGCCCTAAGTCAGCAAGTGCCATCAGCTGCTGGTGCTGACTCAGTCTCAGGTTGGACATGAAGGTCTTCTCCTTGGCCCTGCTCACCCTGCTGCTGGTGGCTCTCTGGACTGGAATCCAGGGTGTCTCCTGTAAGTATCAAAGCTGAGCCTTTCCCTATGGATGCTCCAGCACCGTCCCCGGCTCCTCCACTGATGGGGTTTTGGGGGGTCGGGGAGGGGGACGGGAGCTTCGACTCCTGCTTCTGCTGGAGCTCTGGGGGGCTGAGGGGCATCACCAGCTGCTGGAGAACAGGGCTGTCCTGGTCTTGTTCAAAATGGGCAAAAATAGGCTTGGGGATGGCTCCAGCCCCAACACCCTGGTGGGGGCTCAGCAGGGAAATCGAGGGCTTCTACCCCGGGGCAAAACAGCACAGCAGGGGATGCAAGACGTGACCCCTCATAGCAGGAGGGAGCAGGAGAGCCCCCGGGGAAGCACCCACACCTTCTGGGGCAGCACTCACATCCCTCGTGCCAGGCGTGGGAGAACACCAACCCCTCTCGCCTCCCCTCAGTCCGCAGCTACTACAGCGCCTGCTGCTACAAGAAGATGTTCATCCACCAGAAAATCGCTGCCTCCCTCATCAGGAGCTACCAGAAGACACCTTCCCACTGCTCCCGCAAGGCTGTGCGGTAAGTACCCCCAGACCCTCCCAGCCTTCCTCCCAGGCACCCCGCTCCTCCTCTTGCTCACCCATCTGCTCAGTAGGTTGTTCTGCTTTGGGGGATCCCTCAAAATAAGCCACCCCCAAAGGGTGCCATGGGGGGGTGCTTTGTCCTGGCTTTTCAGATGCACCTTCCTCCTCACTGCTTTATTCCAAATAGCCCCTAAATCCCCCTGTTTCAGCTCCCAGCCAGAAAAACGCGAAGGAAGCTGAGGTTTCAGTGCTAAAGTCAGCACTTTCCAGGGATGTTGGGGGGCAGGAGGCTGCATCCCCAGGCTGGTGGGGGAACTCCAGGACATGGTTGGATCCTGCACCCCCCAGCTAAGGCAGCTTCTCTCTCCCCTCCCAGTGTGGAGCTGCTAAAGGGGAAGAAGTTCTGTGTGGACCCGGAGAGCAGCTGGTTCCAGGAGTACCAGAGGCAGAAGGAGTTGACCAGCACCTCCACATGAAGCTGCCTTCCACATAAGCTCTATTTATTCGCACCCCATAATTATCTGTACCTTCTCACCTCGTCAAGTTATGGAGCCGGCTCCATCCCCTCCCTTGTCCTCGTCCCTCCACCCCATCAATAAAACATCATGTTTCCGACCTGCAGCTCTTGGGTCATGATGTAAATCCTGCAGGAGGAAACGGGGGGACACATCAGGGCTCGGCATCACTGTGGGGACCCGGGAATAGTCCAGGAGCCCCTGGGAGGGCAGGGACACCCCAAGGGCCAAGGCTGATGCCCCCAGCTCCCCTCTCCAAGATGAAGCAGCCCCTGCTTGGCCATGAGGTTGAAGGACACCCTGGGCAGCTGCTGACCTGCTGGCACGTGGACCAAGGCAGGGATAAAGGCAGGCGCAGGCTGGCAATGGCAGAAAGGTTGAGATTGGGGTGGGGTCTGAGAGGTTTTGGGGATTGGTTTGGTTTGTTCCCAGATGGATCAAGGGGATTAAACAGGGGTGGCTGCAGGAGAAGTGCCTGGAGATTTAGCACTGTCCTTCTTCTCATGGGGAAAGGCGTCTCGCTGTCCCTAGAGCCCATCCACCCACCGCTGCGCAAACAGGGATGGCAAATGAAAGAAACTGGCCCATACCAGGTCTGTCACTCGTGTCAACGGTCTCCTTACAGACAAGCACAAGTACAGGCCGGGTGGAGAATGGATGGAGAGCAGCCTGGAGGAGAAAGACCTGGGAGTGTTGGTTGATGAGAAGCTCAGCATGAGCCAGCAATGTGCGCTGGCAGCCCAGAAAGCCAACCGTGTCCTGGGCTGCACCAAAAGGAGCGTGGGCAGCAGGTCAAGGGAGGGGATTCTGCCCCTCTACTCTGCTCTCATGAGACCCCCCTGAGTGCTGCGTTCAGCTCTGGGGTCCCCAACATCAGAAGGACATAGAGCTGTTGGAGTGGGTCCAGAGGAGGCCACGAAGATGATCCAAGGGCTGGAGCACCTCTGCTATGGAGACAGGCTGAGAGAATTGGGGCTGTTCAGCCTGGAGAAGGCTCCGGGGAGACCTTCCAGCAGCCTTCCAGTACCTAAAGGGGCTACAAGAAAGCTGGAGAGGGGCTTTGGACAAGGATATGCAGTGACAGGACAAGGGGCAATGGCTTTAAACTGAAAGAGGGAAGAGTTAGATGAGATCCAAGGAAGAAATTCTTCCCTCTTGAGGGTAGTGAGGACAAACTGACACCCAATCACCCTGCTGGCCCTTGTCACAGAAACCTGCAGATCCTCCCTAAAACAAGCTGGAAACTCACGGGTGTTTTGCTGATGTGCCCGAGCGCTGTGGGGCAAGAGCTTCTGCGGTGGCCCCCACTCTCCTGTTGTCACCGTGGGTGCTGCCGGGCCATTCCCCAAATAGGAGCCGGCATTGGCAGCCCCAGGGGAGACACCGCTGTCAAACCCT